TAGAAAAACAGATCAATGAACTGGGCATGCAACTAAAAAAACTAGAAAAACGAAGTTAAAAATCCCCAACTGAGCACCCAATTAGAAATCCTGAAAATCAAGATGAGGCTAATTAGATTGAAAATTAAAAAAAACTATTGAGCTAATAAATAAATCTAGGAGCTGGTGTTATGAAAAAACCAGGAAGCTAAATAAACCACTGGTTAATTTTATTAAAAAGAAAAGAAAACCAAATAATCCTGTATCAAAAATGAAAAGGTAAAATCACCACCAATGAAGAAATTAAAACAATCATTAGGAAATATTTTGCCCAATTATATGCCAATAAATCTGACGATCCAAACAAAATCAATGAATATTTACAAAATACAAATTACCCAGATTAACAGATCAGGAAATATAAATAACCCCAACTCAGAAAAAGAAACTGAACAAGCCATTAATGAACACCTTAAGAAAAAAAACCCAGGGCCAAATGGGTTCACAAGTGAAATTGACCAAACACTGAAAGAACTAATTACAATAGTATATAAACTACTTGGAAAAACAGGTGAAGGAGTCCTACCAAACTCTTTTATGACACAAATGTGGTGCTCACACTTAAATTAGGAAGAGCTAAAACAGAGAAAGAAAATTAAAAACCAATTTCTAATGAATAGATGCAAAAATTCTGAACAAAAAGGCAATTAGAGCAATATACCACAAAGAATATACACTATGACCAGTAGGATTTATACCAGGAATGCAGGGCTGCTTCAATATTAGGAAAACTATCAATTCAACTGACCATATCAGTAATAAAACCAACAGAAATCATATGATTATCTCAATAGATGATGAAAAAGCTTTAGACAAAATACATAAAATACAACAGAGAACACAGGAATAAAGGGGATGTTCCTTAAAATGATAAGCAGTATTATTGTGCTATAAGAAATGATGAACAGGCTGACTTCAGAAAAACCTGGAAAGACTTATATGGTCTCATGCTAAGTGAAGTGAGCAGATCCAAGAGGACTTTGTACACAATAACAGCCACGTTATGCGATGACTGATATTGTTAAACGGAACCCTTCTCAGCATTACAAGGATATAAGACATCTCCAGAGGCCTCGGGATGGAAAATGCTGCCCACATCCAAAGAAAGAACTATGGAAACCGAATCGCTATCACTTATTTTTACCTTCTGTTGAGTTCTGTTTCATCTTTCTGATAGTTCCTCCTATTGGTTTTAATTTTTACTTACAACTTCACTAATGTGAAAATATGTTTAATGTAAATGTAAATGTAAAGCCTATATCGGATTGTGCGCAGTCTTGGGGAGGCTGGGGGGGAGGAAGGGGGAGAAAAATTCTCACCTCAAAAGCATATGGAAGTGATTGTTGATAAATCAAAATAAATTAATAAAATTTTTTAAAAAATGATAAGCAGTATCTATCTAAAGCCATCAGCAAACATTATCTATAATGGGGATAAGCTAGAAGCCTTCCCAATAAGATCAGGGGTGAAGCAAGGATGCCCATTATCACCGCTGTTAGTATAGTACTAGAAATGGTAGATACAGCAATAAGAGAAAAAGACATTGAAGGAATTAGAATAGGCAATGAAAAAACAAAACTATCACCCTTTGCAGACAATATGATGGCATACTTAGAGAACTCTATCTCAACTAAAAAACTACTTGAAATAACTAACAACTTTAGCAAAGTTGCAGAATATAAGATAAACCCACATAAATCATCAGCTTATCTTTATATGACCAACAAAGCCCAGCAGCAAGACAGAAAGAGAAATTCTATTTAAAATAATTAAAATACTTGGAAGTCTACCTGCCAAGACAAACCCAGGAACGATATGAACAAAATTACAAAACACTTTTCATACAAATAAAGTCAAAGCTAAAGAGTTGGGAAAACATCAATCACTCATGGGTAGGATGAGACAATATAATAACATGACAGTTCTACCTAAACTAATTTACTTATTCAGTGCTGTACCAATAAAACTATCACAAAATTATTTGATAGAGCTAGACAAAATAAAAAATTCATCTGGAAGAACAAAGGGTCAAGAATATCAAGGGAATTAATTTAAAAAAAAATCAAAGGAAGGTAGCCTAGCAACACCAGATCTCAAACTATATTATAAAGCAGAATTATCAAAACTATCTGCTACTGGCTAAGTAAGAGTAGAAGATCAGTGGAACAGATTACACAAGACACAGTAAGTAGTCTATAACTAGTCCAATGACTAGTATTTGATAAATCCAAAGACCCCAGCCTTTGGGATGAGAACTCACTATTTGACAAAAACTACTGGGAAAACTGGAAAACAACAGGACACAAACTAGGTATAGAGCAAACCTCACACTGTATACTAAGAGAAAGTCAAAATGGCTTTAGACTGATTTAGACATAAAGGGTGACACCATAAGCAAATTAGAAGAACAAGGAATACCTGTCAGATGTATGGGGAAGAGACAATTAATGACCAAACAAGAGAAAGGGCATTATGAAACATAAAACAGATAATTTTGATTACATTAAAATAAAAAGCTTTTGTACAAACAAAACCAATACAATCAAGATTAGAAGGAAAACAGAAAGCTGGGAAATGAGCTTTCCAGCAACCATCTCTGATAAAGGCCACATTTCTCAAATATATAGAGAACTGAGTCAAATTTATAAGAATACTAGCCATTCCCCAACTGTTAAATGGTCAAAATCGAAGCTATTTATAGGCATATGAAGAAATGTGCTAAATCATTTTTGATTAGAGAAATGCACACTAAAACAACTCTGAGGTACCACCTCACACCTATCATATTGGCTAATATGACAAAAAAGGAAAATGATAAATGTTGGAGAGGATATGTGAACTGACCCAACCATTCTGGAGAACAATTTGGAACTATGCCCAAAGGACAACCAAATTGTGCATACCCTTTGATCTAGCAATATCACTACTAGGTCTGTATCCCAAAGAGATCATAAAAAAGGGAAAAGGACCTACATGTGCAAGAATATTCAGAGCAGCCCTTTTCATGGTGGCAAAATACTGGAAATTGAGGGGATGCTGCCCATCAATTGGGAAATGGCTGAACAAGCTGTGGTATATGAATGTACTGGAATGCTATTATGTAATAAGAAACAATGAAAAGCAGATTTCAGAAAATCCTGGAGAGATCTGCACAAACTGATGCAAAGTGAAAGGAGCAGAACCAGGAAAACAATGTACACAGTATTAGCAACACTGTGTGATGATCAATTGTGAATAACTCAGCTCTTCTCAGCAGCACAATGATCCAAGACAAGTACAAAGGTCTCACAAAGGAAAATGCTATCCACCTCCAGGCAAAGAACTAATGGACTCTGAAGATTTAAACATATTTCTCTTACTTCCTTTACTCTTTTCCCCCTTTTGATCTGTTTCTTCTTTCACAACTATGACTAATATGGAAATATGTTTTATGTGACAGTACACATATAACCGACATCAAACTGCCCACCATTTTTGGAAGAGGAGGGAACGGAGAAAAATTGGAATTCAAAATCTTGTAAAAATGAATGCTAAAAATTATCTTGTCATATAATTGGGAATAAACAAAATACTATTAAAAATCATAAAATAAAATGCACTTCAAAATCAAATGCATAGGAGTACAGTTTTCTCAATGTGTATATACTCACCCTTAGCATACAATTTGTTATACAAGATTACACTAACCAGTTCATCTTTAATCTCATCCATTAGCATCCAAGAGCCTCTGAACAACTCGAGTCCTTTTGTAGGCAAAAAGCCCCCCTTGCTAACCTCACCAGGAAAGATCTTTGCTTTCAAAACTGCCTTTCTCCTTGTGTTGCCCTGAATACAGACCAGAGGAGCTTTATCAGACAAAACCAGGCAAGCCCCAGAGGTTCCCAGACAAAACTACTCATCATAAGTCAGGCTTCCAATTCCTATCTTGGAGCTACCAGTGAGTGCACACAAACATGGCAACCACAAAGTTGTGCCTTCCCACAACAGAGCTCCTTAGTGCACAGTGGCATGCTAGGCTTTTCTCTGCAAAAACTCAGTGGGCCAGAAATCTGTGCAGGTGACCAAGCTTTCTCCTTTCTTCCCAATCTTGTTCCTTCCACACTTCCAAAGCAAAGCCCTTATCAGAACTTGCTGCTCTGGGCACCACTGATTTGTGTGTTACTAGCTTAGGGCTGATGGACACTGCTATTCCTCTCTCAAATATTTATGCTGCTTCTCTCTCTTCCTTCTCAAACCTATACTTTTAAGAAGCTTTAGAGATCACTTCAGTAGAGGATATGGGATTCCAACCTTACCCTTGGGTTTGTAATTATGCTAGAGAATGAAGAAAAGCTGCAAACCCCTCCTCCAGAAAAGAAAATCCAGCTTGTATTCATAAGGACCAATTGAAGGCAGGAGGTTCTGTGGTGTATGAAGCTGTCACTTCTCCTGCCTTCACAAGTTACCCAACATAGGCCATCCTGTGCAGCATTCTCCAACGACCCATGGCACGAATACCTATCCAGCTTCACCCCACGAATACCCCTGGACTCTCTGGCCTCAGACATCACAACTTACATTCCAAAGACACAGTCAGGTTTCAGTGGGACTCTGGGTGTGTCATTCAGAGGCAGGACTAGGAAAAGATTTCAAAAGTCTAGGGATTCTCTGTTGGCACTACAAAATATCTTGGCATCTCTACTGTAAGGTAGTGAAATTCTGCCTGCATCCATGTACCCATCACTTGACTGTCCTTCTCCTCTTGACCAACCCACTGGCAAGCTCACTAAACTGCCTTCTCATTTCCCACCAGTAGAGAACGACCAGCATCGATGCTCTGATACTCTGTTTACAAACATCTGCAAGCTGGGCAGCAGTACAGATGAAAACTATGCAGCCCCTGGAGGGCCTCGACCTCAGGAACTGTCAATGAAGGGCTGGGTTAAGTGTCAATTACAGAGAGGAGTACACAAAGTACATACCACAGATGCAAAGACATATTTTTGGTCCTTTTCTTGTAGCAGCAAAAGTACATCAGTCAACAGGACAGCAAGGACTTCTATGAAGAAAGCAAAGTAAGAACAGTGAAATGCTGTAAGCAGACAACTGAGAAGCATCGGAGACAGAGGATTGCACTTGCTACCCACGCCACCTCAGGCAAGTCACTTCACAACTCTGGGACTCAGTTTCCTCATTTGTAAAGTGAGGGGATTGAATGAGATGATCTCCAGGGTCCTACGAGTTCCTCAGACAGTTCACATGCAGCCTGAGGACAGACTGTGAAGTACAATAATTTTGCTCTCTGGCATCTAAGAAGCCCCTTGTGTGTGCATTTAAGTTCTTGGCCTTCCCTCATCTTTGCATTAGAAAAAAAGGAAGCATGTTGCTTTCCCATTTCAACGGCTAGCAAACTCAGCAATAAGCCAATGAAAAGCTATATAGAGTCCCTCTCTGAAGGCATACATTCTTGTACAAATTTGACAAGGAAAATCTCTGCACAGCATGTAACATGTTCCAAAAGGAGCAGATCCATGTGGCTGGGCCACAGTAACACCAAGGACATGGACATCCAGCTGTGGGTACGGGAAGAAAGGAGCTGCTTTGAAGCTGGGCCTGCAATGCAAAAATCTGAACAGCACAGCTTTTTAAAGACAGCCTTGCTTTCTGCTCTGATCTTTTGTGGGCAAAAAACAGGTTGATGTTTATTTCCTTGACTGCAAACCATGAGTCTCTCAAAATAATGTGTTTTCATGGAAGAGAGCTCATGAAGCACTCACAGAAGACCTGAACACGCTATGATTAGCTTAAATATATTTCCCAGACTAGCAAATCAGGAAAAGATATGATCTGTACAGTTAACTTATTATCATACTTAAGAACCACAATGTTCTAAATCTGGCTTAAACAAACAACAAACCTCCAGGTGCCTTTCTTTGTACCCCAGTGCTCGGCACAGTGTCTGGCACACAGAAAGCACTTAATAAATGCTTGCTAACTGACCTACTTTACTCCAGGTGCATGGCTGGTCACAAACGTATTTGGCAAACCAGAGCGACACCCACCACCTCCTTTCCCTTGTTTACCTTTCAGACGCCCTGATGCAGTTTTCCAGCACAGCATTCCATCAAGATGGAGCTGCCTATGGAGCATACCCTCCTTCCGGAAGGTCAGCCCATTTTTGAGCTTGCCAGAGGACTTGAGGTCCATCTTGCCAACAATCTCTTTGAGACGCTGCCCCTTCTCACATTCATTCACTTTGGCATCAACTTGTGTGATGATGTCTTTTATTAGGCCGAGAGCCTGGTTCAAGTCTTCATAATCTTCAGTACCAGCTGCCATGGACAGCAGAGTTAGTTCTGTTTTTTTTTTTTTTAAAGCACAGCAAACACAAAAAATGATGGTCTCACCCCAAGCTATGCACCACCAGTACAGCACCCCAAGGACCCTCACAAATTTAAAATTCTCATAGGGCTCCCTGAAACAAAGAACTACATTTGTGCCAATGCAGAATTCTTGTTTTTAATGCATCAAAATAAATGCAGCTAAAGTGACCCCAAAATACCCTTCATGGCTCAGGGCCAAGGGAAATTCCATAGGGAGTTTTAGTTTTCAAAGGCAAAAAGAGGATCGTATTTAGAGCACATTAGGAAGACGGTATGTGGGACAAAAGTTAAACAATCCACAGTATGTTATTTATCAAGCAGCACTATAATGCCCACAGAGAGGGTCAGAAAAGCCGGTACCTTCAGTATTCTGAATGATGCGCTCCACCAGCACCGGGTACTTGGTAATGCGCTGAGTAACGAGAAGAATGCACTCCTGAACACCAAGCCGCCTCACAATGGAGAAGTTGCCAATTTTCTATGGAAAGAAAAAGCCAAAGCTTACAAACATTAACTCTTGAGCAACCAAAATTCAGCCCTCTACACAGGCCCATTAACACGTCAATCTGCTTTCTACGTCTCCATTTTCTGATCAGAAATACCTGGCTTTCTGACTCTTGAGTTATAGGGCATCAGACTGCCTGTGCTTTTGGAAACACAATTCTCAACTTATAAAAACTGAACGAAAAAATAAGGCAGGGTGCACCTCCCAGGGAGGATAGAGGTTTATGCATCAAGCCTGGTTGGAAGCCAGCCCTTCCCTGTCGATGGGAGGGGAAGAAAAACAAGTTCTATTCTTTGGAGCATATTGCCAATTATCCTTTCGTGCTTACAAAGCTATGTTTCAAAAAAAAAGACATACCAGCAAGACTCCAAAGTCATTGATTCAGAAAATAACTGAGAATGTGGCTTTGACCCGCTGGGCCTTGACCAGCCCAGTGATAACATTTACATATTAGCTTTTTTTGCTATTTGGTCAAAATATTTCTCTTAGACATTTTTCTGGTTCTCCAGTGTGAGGTGCGCGCATAGCACTGCTTATCAGACTGGTACATGACCTCCAGGCACCCTCTCCCTTCCCTTCCTGTTCAGTTTAGTTCCTTCTGGATCAAACTAGAATGTTGTACTTTTAAAAATAAATATTCTTGCAACGCATTTATGACTCTCCCGCTCACAAACAAAAGCATCAGGGAACACAGGAGGGAGCCAAGTTCTCAAAACTTACAGCCACAAGGCTCTTACTTTTTACCTTTATCATGTTTTGGAATTTCTTGTTTTGCTGGAGCAGTTCCTTATAGTGACTGACGGCTTCGTTGTGACCACAACAAAAGATGCCATATTTTTCTTTCATTCTTTCTCCATTTTCACCTGAAAACTAATATAGGAGAGAGAAAACAAATCATGGGAAGGCTGTCTGCAACCACCAGAGTCTATCTGAATCAACTTCATCAAGCTTCAACAGACCATCTAATTTACTTCCAATGTCTGTTTCTCCTCTAAAAAGAAAGGGAAACCCTGGAGGTAAAATAAGGGCTTTAATAGGCCGCAGAAGGAAACGATAACTTGATAACCTATAAGCCAGAGCAATCCAGAAAATGTGAGAAAAACAGAAAAAGAAACAAGGACTGCTGTAATAAGCATTCTTCTTATTAAGAGTACAAAATAACACTTAGTTTACAAACTGATTCAAGAAAGAACTCTGGCATCAAGAGAGAGATTTGCTAGTCTCCTCAGGAATTTCTGCTTGTCATTTTAGAAGTGACCCAAAGCATACGTGCCAGCTGGGAACAGATCCTCCCAGAAGCCAAATACCAAGACAGCCCCCTCATATGGGCATACTCTAGTTCTCTATGGTCCCAGACCACAAGCCATGCTACTGATCAAAGAAGCTGGAATGCCTACTGTACGCTAATTTCCCCCAATTATTATAGTTCCCACCTGTTGCACCAAGAGGTCTCCAATTTTCTGGATCACATAATTCTGATCACTCCCTTCTGCCAAGGATTCTCTGCGTCGCTCCTTTAAGCGGTGTAAGAACTGCCCGTGCATCTCCAGCAAGTCATCCACACACGGGAAGATGCGGTTGAGGACTCTGCTACTGAACTGCATCTCTTCCTTCAGCGCTTTTGAATAGACTTTCAACATGATCTTCAGGGTTCTGACATGATGCACTTCAGTCTGCATTAACTCTGCAGGGGATACAGAGTGCCCACACTAAGAAGCAGCTGCAGCACTGTCACGATCCTTCCCTTCACACGCCTGCTCCTGCTCCAGCCCCATTCGCTTGTCCAGGCTGACCTGCCGCACCCTGAATTTACTTCTACCAGTCTCCACCTTTCAGAATTTTTCTCTTCTTCAAGACACAGTTCTGGTACCACCTCCTTAAAGACGGTGATAAACCCCAGTGATTATAGGGTTCCTCCTCCTCAAATTCTCTTGTATTTATTTATCCGGGCAGCTAGATAGCCCAGTGGACAAGCACTGAGCCTGGAGTCAGGAAGACACATCTTCCTGAGTTCAAATCTGCCCTCAGACACTTATTAGCTGTGTGACTATGGGCAAGTTACTTCACCCTGTTTGCCTCAGTTTCCTCATCTGTAAAATGAGTCTGAAAAAAAATGGCAAACCTCTCTAGTGTCTTTGCTGAGAAAACCCCAAGTGGAGTCAGGAACGGTCAGACACGACTGAAAGTCTCACACACAGCTAGCTGGGAGCTTAACAAAATGTCTGCTCATGATTCTAATCACTACTTAAAACTGAACGAATTTTCAGGTTTTCAAAGTGCTTTCACAGACACAAATTACCTCGACGGATCCTAATAAGCACGAGAAGGAGCTTTGCTGAGGGTCACACATCAAACATCACAGGAAGTACTGACAGAAATTCCAGCCAATCCACTAAACCTAAGTCTGAGTGAGAAGAAGCTTGGTATAGAGAGAACAGCAGAGGCAAGAAGCAGAGTGAGAGAGAACAGTGTGTGATTAGAGTGTGAGATGCTGGAAAACAGATCTGGAGTCCAAAGACTTGGGTTCAAATCCTAGCTCTCCAAGTTAGTACTTGTATGGCTCCAGACAAGAGATTTCACCTCCCAGGGGCTCACTTTCCTCATTTAGAGAAAGGGCGAGGGACAGCTAGGTGGCGCAATGGATAGAGCTCCAGCCTTGGAGTCAGGAGGACCTGAGTTCAAATCCAGCCTCAGACACTTAACACTCACTAGCCGTGTGACCCTGGGAAAGTCACTTAACCCCAGTTGCCTCACCAAAAGAGAGAGAAAGAGAGAGAGAGAGAGAGAGAGAAAGAGAGAGAGAGAGAGAGAGAGAGAGAGAGAGAGAAAGGGCAGGCATCTAGATCATCTTTCCAGTTCCTATCAACCCTAAATCCTATGACCTTACAATAGACTGGTTTCTCTGTGTAGTTGGTACACTGGCCCCAAAGGTAATTTCAAAAGAGGAGTTCCAAAAGCGTTTGGGGCAAGATGCCACCAGGGAAGAACGGCGCTCCCTTGAGCACTGCCTGCCTGCCAGGCAAGGGTGGGGACAGGGAGAGGGAGGGACGGAGAAAAGGCCCAGTCTCAAGATTTTCTATTTGCTTCTATTCCCATCAAAGTCTTGGAGTGTATTATTAAAGGGTCAGTTTGTGAGTGTTTGGGAAGGCAAACAGTGACCAATGAGAGCCAGTCTGGACATAACCAGGGATGGCAAACTGAATGTCTTTATCTGACTTCTGGACAGGGTTACCAGACTGGCAGGGTGACCAGGAGAAGGCCCCGGCCAGCGGCCAGGGTAATTAAGGGAATGTGGGTCCCAAAGACTGGTGACAGGACTGGGGTCAGTCTCAAGCGGAGTCCCCTTTGGATCTGTCCTTGGCCTCATGCTGTTCAACCTTTTTAATCAACGAACTAAATAGAGGAAAAGAGAGCATGTTCATCATATTTTTGGATAATGACAAAGCTGGGAAGGATAAGTAACATGCTAAATAAAAATCTAGATTCTAAAAGATCTTATTAGGCTAAAAATGGTCTGAATCTACTAGAAGGAAATTCAAAAGCGAGAAAGGTAAAATTTTACATTTGTTTAAAAAAAAAAACCCAACAGCAATGCAAATGACAACTGTGCAGGATGTGGAAAAGGAAAAAAATTTCCCAACACTTAAAGAGCTTTCAAAGTGGAATTCGGTGCCTCAAAAGACAGTGAGTTCTGAATCACTAGAGGTCTTCAAAGAGAAGTTGAGGACATCATAAAAGGGGGAGATCGAAGTTAGGTATGAGATGACCTGAGGTCTCTTGAAACTCAGATTCCATGATATTAGATATAATTCAGTATTCCACTGCCCTGTTTAAGTAATTTATAATGTGCTTTAGAATACTGCATACATACTGCTCAGGACAATCAGTTCCTTGAACAAGCATACTTTTTTTTTTTTAAGCAAGCATACTTTTAAGACACTCCATTGTTTCTGTGGGAAAGTCTACCCCCGCTACACATAATTTCAACTTCAAGTATTTTCCCCTCGGGGATTTTATGGGCCCTTGGTTCGTGGACTGACTCCTCAAGCAAATACAATATGGAGAAAACTAACTCGAGTTGCCATGTTTTTTGAAGTAACCAATTGAGAGAGCTTTACAACTAGGCTATTATACAACAACAATAGTAATGGTGATGCTTTTGGAACTCAGAAAGAGGAATTAAGAAGCTTATTCTTAATTAACCACATTTTAATTTGAGTATACTGGAGAAGTATAGAAGATAGGCACAGCTATCTCTTGACAGAATTGTGAATTAGTAAACCAATCTGAAAAGCAATTTGGAATTATGTGAAAAAGATGACAAAAGTACGTAATCTCTGACCCAGAGATCCCACTGATAGGCACATACCTCCCCCAAGGAGGTCAAATAAAGGTCTCATAAACACCAAACTATTCAGAGTAATTTTTTTTTGTGGTAGCAAAGAAGTGGAAAAAGTAAATGCCTATTGTGGTGCAAGAATGTAAGGGAATATTAATGTGCTCTAAGAAACAGTGACTATGAATTCAGAAGCCTGAGAAGGCTCATCATCTAAATGGATAACCAAGTAAAGCAAGCAAAACCAGAAAAACAATATATACAATGACAACAACGTAAACAGAAAGAACCACCACCAAAAAAAAAAAAAAAACCCTGAGCCCTGTAATTTCAACGAGTAAGTATGGCTCAAAAGAAAAACAAAAGGAAACACAACTCCCTCTTTTGCTTGTAGAAGTGAGAACCATGGGTGTGGAACAGCATATAAACTATCAGACCTGAAGTCTTGGTTTGCTAATCTGCTTTTTAAAAAAGCTTCCTTGTCATGAGGGAGAGCTTGCTGGGCAGGGGGAGAACATATTCAGAAATGAAGGAGATACAAAACCAAAAGACGGCAATTTTTGAACTGGGAAAACCCTCAATTTTTTTGAGCGCCTTACAAGAAATAGCTGGGTGATGGATGGGTGAGATACTTATAACTTACGTGTGGAGTTAAGGTTTATCTATGTATTAACAATGCAAATTTGCTAAGTGTCAAATGCGTGGTAGAGAGGAAATACTACAGAAGAGGAAAGGTAGATAGTGGTGAGCTAGGGCAGTCACGGAATGATCAATGGAGGTGGTTAGACTGGAGCTGCGCCTCGAAGAATGGGTAAAGATTTTAAAAAAGAAGATACTAACTCTCTCAACCCACAGAACAACAAGACTCGGAATGCCCTGAGTCCTGGGAACAGTTCATCTCTCATTTACTGGTCAGGTCAACTCAGGGTTGGGGCTGATACGCAAGTGCAGGCAGTGACTGCCATGGCCTTTTAAAGTAAATTAAAGATGACAAAATGCTTGGGACAGTGGCCAGGTCGGCCCTTGCTGGCCAAGACAAAATAACTTCATCGTCATATCTGTACCCCAATTTAGCTCATTCTGATCTGCTGGACCACATAACTAATGGCCACAGACAATATAAACAGCATACTTGAAAACAGAAAAGAACCCGACAAGTAAGATCACTAATGTGGTCATCCCCCTTTGCCCCAACTGTCCTACCAGCTGCATTACTGGGATCTTATTTCCCGCATCTGAGGAAGAAACACAAGCTTCTGTGAGCCAATGACTCAGTAAAAACAATATTCTTATGAGATCTGAAGAGGACCTCATTTCCTCCCTTTGAAACAATGGTAAATGCATGCAAGAAAAAAAATTTAAGAGCTATGACATCATTCTTATAAAAACTGT